AGAGCCAGTGTTATGACAAGTGTCGGTGTGGGCCCCCAGCATGGCTGCCCAGCACTCCAGGGCCTGGGGCTGATGGGTGGCAGGGGAGAGAGGCCTGGGCCCCCCTTCCCCGCAGGGCAGCCACCAGGGGTCACGCTGGAGCAGCAGGTGTGGATCTCCAAGGGAGGCTCTGCTCCTCACCTGCTGTGTGGCCTGGGAGGGGGTGACTTCACTTCTCTGAGCCTGTTTCCTTGTCTGGCAAATAGGAATTCTGAGAGTCCCTTCAGACAGTGCTTGGCGCAAGGCCTGGCACTAAGCAGCCATCCGCCGCTCTCTGCCCTCACCCCATGTGTGAGGTAACAGAGTGCTGAGAACCACAGAAAAGGCACCCAGGCCCTGCTGGCTGGACCAGAGAGGAGAGGCTCACCATGATCTGGAAGCAATCAGGGCCTCCGCAAGGAAGGGAAGGTGGGCGGGCAGTGGGAGGGAAGGGTGCCACTAGTGGCGGGAACAGCGTGTGGGGCCGCAGGACACCTGGACCTGTTCGGGGAGGTTCAGAGAAGGACTGAGTGGGGCCGGCTGAGATTATCACAGTTGCTTTCGGGAGGTCCCACTGGCTTCAGCCTGCAGTGGGGGCAGGAGTGGCTGCGGGGCCAGCAGCGGTCAGGGTGGTGGGTGAGGGAGGCTTAGAGCTGGGTGGGGATGATGGCAGAGTCCCCAAGGGGCTTCTCAGGGCTATAAGGAGGTGCAGTCAGGGACACTGGGCGGGGGGGGGGGGGGGGGGGACAGTGAGGCAGAAAGAGGACTTCTGGTGCAGCCTGGCAGTCAGAGCCCCTTACCTGACCTGAGCTAGGGACACGCCCCTCCTAGTCTGTCCAGCCCTCCCAGCCTTTGCCCCTGCTCCTCCCTCAGCCGAGACTGCCTTTCTCCTGCCACTCTTTCCTGAATCATCTTCATCCTTCAGTGTTCAGCTTAAGTTTCTAGAACATTCTGTGGCTCCCTTGGCCTAACAACCAGTGCAGAGCTGGCTATGTGGGAAGTGCCACAATCAGCCCCCTCCCCACCCACAGCCACTGCCTGCTCCCGGGCAGTCCCCCTGGGACAGGGCAGCACAGAGCATGCCCCCAGACTGCCGGCCCACAGGGCAGAGGTGGAGCAGATGTGAGCCGGGAACCACAGTGGCATCTAGACTAGAGTGTCCTGCCCCACCCCACTTACAGATGAGGAAACCAAGAGCTTAAGGACTTGCTCAGGGTCACAGCCTCCTATGTAGCAGAGCCAAGATTTGAACCCTGTTCTCCCAGGGCCCAGCCAGGGTTAAGAACGTGGGCTGTGCCCTGCGGCTGCCTGGGATACAGGAATCATGACCATTTCTGAGCTGTAGGGCCACTCTGAGCCTCAGTGTCATTACCACCACGACAGCCTTGATGCTGTATCCCAGGCGCAGCACTGCCACTTCCTATCAAGGGACCACCAGAGGGTTGCTAGGACAGGATGCCATGAGAGACCATGAGCCAGTCCCAAAAAGGACCAGGGAAAGGCTAGAGGTGCTGATAATGATATGACCCTAGTGTGGTCACCCAGAGCTGTCCCTAGGAGCCTTTCCTGGGCCCAGATACCCTTGGCACCTTCTCCAGGGCCTCCAGGCTATTAGGGCTTGAAATTCAGCAAAGCAGGAAACAACCAGGCCGTGGTCAGGGCAGCCGAGCTCCACGCTGAGCCCTTCCCAGCTCCAGGGCACGTGTTGCAAATGCCCACGTGCACTGAGTACGGTTCTGTTTCCACCACCAGTGATGTTTGCATGTGAATCGTGACACTCCCACAAGGTATGCAGGTGGCTGCTAGGACCCTGCAGCAGCCCCTCTCCCAGCTCCCCTTCTGCCATCTGAGCAGGGACTCCTGCTGAACCCCACAGAGATGACACCTCCTCCAGTCAACCTTCTTTGACTTCCCCAGGCAAAGGTGGTGACTCCTGCTCTGTCCTAAGCCGGGCCTTCCTTTCTTCAGTATTCCTTGCTCCTCTTTCCTCAGTTTATTGTCATGATCCATAGAGCTCTGTGGAGGGTGTCATGGCCTGTATGAGTCAGGTCCAGTGACCCTGCCATCGGTCACGAGCAACCTGCAGTGTCATTATCTTTTCAGTGGTGGGAATAACAGCCCTTGCAAGGCAGACAGAGCGGGCAGAGCATGGAAGCAAAGTTCCCCAGCACGGGCCTAAGTCAAGGCTGTCATGGCGTTTCACAGGCAGGTGACTGGCACAGGTGCACGGAACCCTAGCCTTGTTTTAAGGTTCCTCTGAGGCTGCACAAAAATGTTTATTTTTGAACAAGGGGCTCCATATTTTCATTTTCCACTAAGCCCTGAGAATTGTGAAGTGGGTCCTGGTCAGCAGGTTCTGCTTCTGACCTGCCCCTGCCCCTAAGTCCCTGGGCAATGGGGGTCTTAGGAGCCTAGAGCAGCCTGAAGTGCTGCCAGTCCTCTCTCCCCTCACCCTCAACATGCGTACTCAGTCGTGTCTGACTTTCTGCAACCCCGTGGACTGTAGCCCTCCAGACTCCTCTAACCATGGGATTCTCTAGACAAGAATACTGGAGTGGATTGCCATTCCCTCCTCCAGGGGATCTTCCCTTTGAGGGATCGAACAGATTCTTTACCACTGAGCCACAAGGGAAGCCCCCCCAACCCCCGCAGGGATCAGGCATCACTAACTGGTCATGGTTCTTCTGCTCCTGCTGACCCTCAGAACCTTCCTCCACACAGACCTCCTGCCACTCCAGCAGTAGTACCAACCTGGGTGCCACTTGCTGTGCATGGAGCCTCAAGGCCGGCAGAGGTCCAATTCGTGGCCACCTCTTCCAGGGATCCCCCTGACTGCCAGGTGCCCATCCTGTAAAGAGGCTACCCACTTTGGGAAAGCAGCAGGCCCAATGGGAAACCCAGACAGGTGGAGTCCCTTGTCTCATTGACAGACATAGTGGAAGCCCCGGGCTGAGTGAATCAGTCAACTATGGGCTGCGTACTCTGCAGAGAAGGGGTACAGCACCATGGCAGCTGCAGGAAGGCTGTACCCACTGGGCACAGCCTGGGCAGGGAGTGGGAAGAGTGGGCAAGCTCATGACTCCGGACAGGTCTCTTGGCCTCCTGGCCTCAGTGTTCTGGCCTGTCCGGGGGCAGTGGCTTATCCTGGGGGGACCTCAGCCTTCTGCCCCACCTGCCAACCCCCTGCCCTCCTGAGAGCAACAGCAGCAGGGGAGAGTGCCCAGGTCCTGGGGGCAAATTCTTCATCTTCTATGGGGAAGGGCAAAGGCAACAGGAGTCAGAATGAGATGGTCTCAGGGCAGAGTGCTCAGCACCCAGCCAGCCCCCACACATGACTGTGAGGATCACCTGCCATCAGGTGGGTGGGTCCCGCTTAGCAGACAAGCATCCAGACACCCTGTTTGCAAAGCTCTTCCCCTTAGCCTCTGGCCCCTGCTAACTTCCTATTTCTTGTGAATATGGGGTTGGGGACGGCGGGGTGAGGGCAGGCACCAAATGCAGGCCAAGAATATTAAAGGAATACAGTTGAGCTCCCAGGAACCACTCTGATGCTGTGTGACCTTGAGCCTCCTGGAAAGTGGGGTGGCCTCTGGGATCCCATGAACATACTCCAAAGGACAGAAGGGCTGGCTTCCGTGTCCACGGCTGGAACAGGCAGTACTAACCGTGGGAACCTCGCTCCTTTCTACTTCCTGGGCCTCCAGCAGGGGCGCCCTGGAGAGGCATGGCCTGGGAAGGAGAAACCCAGAGGGGCAACGCCTGGGGGCTGCCGCGGCGGGGGCGGAGAGCAGGCACAGGCCTCTGGCTTCTGCGGCCTCCCGGATTTCCAGCCAGATCTGAACCCAAGGGAGGAGGGCCCGAAGTCCCTCGCTCTCCATTTGGGGCTCTGGTCACCGGAGGCGGCGAACCCGCGGATGCTGCTTCCACCAATCTTGGGTGGAATCCCCACCGTGCCAGAGCCGGCTCCACACCCCAAATCTGGTCCCAGGCAATGTGGGACGTCAAGGCCTCGGGCTGCTTGACCCGGCCCTCATTGTCTCATACCCGGCGGGCCGAGGAGGGTGGTCGCAGAGCCTAGGAGTTATGGGCAGGTCAGAGGCCCTGAAGACGGAGTTATAGAGCAGCGGGACGGAGTGATAGAGCGGTGAGCGGAGCCCAGGCTTTGGGGTGTGCTCTGGGCGGGGCCTCGGAGTTTAGGGGCCGAACCAGGTCAGGTCAGGCTTGGGGGCGGAGCTGGCATCAGGGGGCGGGTCCAGAGAGAGCTTGAGCCGGGTCGGGCGCGGTGATCCGGAGCGGCGGAGTGTATTGGGTCGCAGAGCCTGAGCCTGGGGACAAAGCAGCAGGGCCAAAAGAGGTGTGGAGGAGGCCACAGGTTCCCCCAGGGCCGGGGCCAGCTCCCTCGGGGCGGGGCCTGCCGAGGCTGGGAGAGACCAAAGCCGCGAGGAAGCAAGACCGCCCGGGGGCAGGCGCGCGCTGCGCGGGCGGGGGCGGGGCCGGAGGTGGAGGCGGGGCCAGGGGCGGGGCGGGGCCAGGGGCGGGGCGGGCCCGGAGGGGCGGGGCGGGCCCGGAGGCGCGGCGCCGTGACGCGCACGCCCCGCCCGCACGCCCTGAGCGCCCAGGCAGAGGCCGCCAGGTCCGCCGCGCGCTACCCGCAGGTTCCATTGAGAAGAGCCGAGCAGCGGCGGCGGCGGCGGCGGCGGCGGCGGCGGCGGCGGCGGCGTCTGCGCGGGAGCGGAGAAGCCGGTAGCAGCCCGCCGCCCGCCGCCCCCGGCAGTCTGCGCGGCCGCACAGCAGGGCTGAGACTCCGGCCTCCTCAGCGGCGCCGGGCCGGACGCGGCGGGCTGGGGGCGCGGGCCGGGGCGGCCGTGGAGCCGAGGGGCCGGGGGCATGAGCCGCCCCGCGGCCCCGCCGCGCCCCCGCCGCCCGCCGCCGCCCACCAGGGGCTAGAGGCGGCCGCCGGGAGGGCGCGCGGCGCCGGAGACATGTCCAGGAGGAAACAGAGCAACCCCCGGCAGATCAAGCGTAAGTCAAACTTTGCCCGCCGCCCCCGACCCCCGCCGCCCCCCCCACCCCGTCCCCCGGCCCGCCCCGCTCTGCCCGCGGCGCCCGCGACCTTCACCCCGCGCCGCGCCCCCCGCGCTGTGTGCCAAGCGCGTCGTAATCTAATCTCTGCCGGCGGGCCGGGCCCCCGCGTCTGGGCTGTAGCACCGGGGGTCCGGCCTGGAGGGGGTGTCCGCCCAGAGGGCCGGAACGGGGTGGCTGGGGGCGCGGCCACCTGGCGGCCTGCCCCTCCCCCGCATCCCAGAGATGGTGCAGCGATAAGGCGGCCCCGATCTGGGCTCAGATAAAGTTTAAAATATTCCATTCTGCAAGTCCCATCCTGATAAGATCGCTCTGTCGGGACGGGCTGAAATTGTGATCTTATCTCGCGCGGTTGACTCTCCCAGGCTTTGTATCTAGAGGGAGAGAGAGAGACCTGAGAGGGAGAAGGGGCACCCAGGGCGCGTGGAAGTGCAGGCCAAGTAACAGAGACCCGCGGGTGCCCACCACCATGCCTTCTGGCCACAGAACCTCCTGGCTGGGGGTGGGGGGCGGGGGTGCTGCTCCCACAGCCCATGAGCTGGGCTCCAGCCCTGTCTACCAGGTCTCCAACTCCAGCTTTCCCTGCCAGGGACAACCTCCTGGAGGCCTTCTCCCTGTGTCCCAGCCAGGACCACAGGGGCTCATGCGCTCCTAGGCTTGCGGTCACACACCTTCTATCCGAGGGGCTGCTCCTAGTCAGGGAGGGGTCTCCCGGGACTCAGTCCTGGGCCAGGCGTCCAAGTTTCTCACCCATCTGGACCAAAGGCCATTCCCCAGGGGGGCCAGGCAGTCACTGCTGATGCCCAGCCCCCAACCCCCTGCCCCAGCGATAAGAGCGCCCTGAACTCTTGGGGCCACTCGGCTGAAAGAGGGCAGTGCACAGGAAGCACGACTCCCCACCCCACGCCAATAATAACTTCACGCCTCTGCAGCCAGGGCCAGGGCTCAAGGCTTTCTACCTGGCTTACATCTCCCGGGCCAGCCAGTCAAGTCGTTGGGGCAAAGAGGTGGCCAGCCCCATGCTCCTGAGCACTGCCTCTTCTGTCCACGTGAGCTGTGCCTTCAGGACCCCTTGTGAGTGCTCCTGGGGGAGTGTCTAGTCCCCAGATCCCATAGAGGGGGAAGGCAAGCGTGAATCCGGGTTCCCGTAACCTGACTCCTCAGCGTGTAAGCGGGACTGTTTTCCGAAAGTCGCTTTCTATCAAGTCAACTCAAGTATTAAAACCACCCACAGGTCCCGATCTGCGCTGGTTCTCTGGTTTCTTTTTCCCCTCCTCCCCTGTGTATCTCTGTTGGGTCTGTTCTCGTGTGTGCGTGTGTCTGTGTTTCAGCGTGATGAGAAATGCAGATAACGCGGGCAGGGAGATTGCAGGTTGGGAGCCGATGCCAGTGCAGATAAGGCCCAGAGCAAGGCGAGTGCCCGGGCTGGGCTGGGTGGGCTGAGCGGAGCGCGTTGTGGACAGGGACCAAAGCGGGCCGGCGGGCGAGCCCTGCTGTCCCCTTTCAGTACGCCCGGGAACCAGGCTAGGGAGGGAGCCGACCCTGGGAGGTGGAGCTGGGGAACCATCCCTTCAGCCTGCGGCCCGGGGCGCCTCCACCCCCGGGCAGATCTAGGCGCGTTAAGATGCGAGCGCTGATTGTCGCCAAGCGGCGGCGCCCGCACGCCCGCCCTCTGCCGGGGGCTGTGCGTACGGGCCGTCGCAGCTGTGTTCCCGCTCCACTGGCCTTACCTGCGACCAGGCCGCGAGCCGGGGCGGGGGGGGGGGGGGGGCGCTTGGGGCGCCGCCCCCGTGCCCCCACCAAAGCCGGGGCGCAGCTGCCCGAGCCTCTGTACGCCTTTTGTTCCGCGCTTAGATAGATGTGCCGCGCTGATAAGGCGCACAACCGATGGCGGAGGCGATAGGCGCTCCCATTTATTAACTTCAAACGTGGGAGCGGGGGAGGGCGAGGCGGGAGCGCGGCCTTGGCCGGCCAGATGGCTGTGAAGATAGGCCGGGCCGCGCTGGCGGGGAACACGGGGCGGAGCGCAGCTAGGGACCCCCGGCGCCCCCGGCCCGCCAAGGTTTCCTCCCGCCCGGGTCGATGGGAGCTCAGATAAGCGCCGGGGCCGGTCGGCCGGATGGCGATCTCCAACAGCGATAAGACGCCTTATCTACGGCCACCAGGCCCGGCAGGGTTGGAGGCAACAACAGAGCGGGGGCGGCGCGGCTGGGGTTAGTGGGGTCCTCCGAAGGCCGGAGAGGGGTGGAGGGGCATGCGTGCCTGGGTCCGTTTGGGCGAGTTTTCATCCCAAACACACTTCATTGCCAAGAAGTTGATCCTCCCCCTGCGGGTGGTACAGTCCGTCAAAATGAAAGAAAACTGACTTTGCAGCGGCCAGGAGGTGGGGGACACCCAATCCTGATTCCTATTAGATGGTGTGAGATACAGTCAGAGGCGGAACGAGAGAGGATGTTTTCCCTCTTGAGTCACGTTGGGGTTGGGGGTCTTCCTAGCAAGTGTTAGGTATAACCTGCTTGCAGTTTTTGTAGTTGTTGTTGTTTTTGAGAAAAGAATCAGAGTGGCTTTCACTGCCAGGTTGAGGTTGTGGGGAGCCCAGTGTACTAGGCTTTTTTTGAACGGGTCCTGAAAATCAGAAGAGAAGGTATACTCGGACCTGCCTTGATTCATTCAGCAGGTCTTGATTGAGCACTTGCTGTATGCAAGCACTGGGTCACAGTCACTGCCCTGGGAGCCAGAGGTGGGGTAAGCTAACCAGAGGCAGAGGGAGAGCAGTGTGGGAAATGGGGGAGGGGGCAGATGGGGCTCTGCCTGCAAGGGGGGACCTCCAGCAGGGGTCAGGAAAGAGCCCAGCATGGGGGTGCCTCCAGGGACAATGGGATAGCTTCAGTTTCCAGCTCTCAACACAGGACATAGAAAGCCCCCAGGTCAGACTGGGGGTGCTGAGCCCCTTTGCAGTGGGAGGGTCCCTGGGGGCCATGATTCCAGATGGTGAGTGGAAACCGAGGCCAGCCAGGCAAGAGGCTCCCGGAAGAAGCCCTGCCGGTCCATGCCCCAGCAGCCGGTCCATGCCCTAGCAGCCGCTCCATCACAGGTGGGGGTGTTTTTCACACATCCTCAGAGTTTGATTAAGCAAATTATTGGTGGCCACAGGATGACTCATTCACTCCGAGCTTTAAGCTACCTACCCGCTCCCCCTAGCAGCCCAACGCCCACCTGGGGGCTGGCAGCATCTTCTGGCTGAGCCAGTTCCAGGGAGTGCCTGGGTGGGGCCAGAAGGGGCTGAGGTGGTCTCTATCTGAGTTGTTAGGAACTTAAGAGGGATCATCTTCAGAGAGCCATGCACATCCCCTCCAGGTGTGGGAGGCCGAGGGAGTCGCCTGGTTCTGGGGGCCACCTTGCAACACCCACCACCGCACCATGATGGCCGAGAAGCAGGGAGAGAGGGGGCTTTGACTACACAGCTGCCCCTGACTGGAGCCCCAGCTGGTGGGCTGCGACCCAGACTGGGCTCGCAGGCCCTAAGGTTGGGTCTTCACACTGTCTCCAAGCAGTTCTTGGTTTTCCTGCGTCTGAGGGAAGACAGCTCTTTTGCTTATTAGGCAGTAACAGTGATACCAGTAGTAGCTACTACTCACTCTGCGCCAGGCCACACGGTGTCTTAGGGTGGGTCCCATTCTTACCATTTACCTTGTGGGGAAACCGAAGTGCACAGAAGTTCTCACCCAAGAAAATGACAGCTGGAGTTGGAAGGCTGGCAGCGTGGCCCTGCCCTGAGCAGCACACTGCTCAGAGGAGTGAGGAACCACAGCTCCTTACTTCTGTCTGCCTCTGGGCTTCCCAGCCTCAGTCTCCACAGCTGTGCAATGGGCCCCTGGGAGCAGAGGTGCCCAACAGTCTTTCCCCAGCCCTGCCCTTGCCAAGTCTCCCACGGCTCCTTCCTGAGATGATCATGTTGACAGGAGTGGGCTCCCAGGAGGCTTTAGCCAGCCCTGCCTGGGGCCTGAGCCCAGGTCTTATCCCGCCCACCTGACCAGCCCCTCCCCAGAGGTCACTGGGAGCCCAGCATGGCACCAGCACCTCCAGGGATTTAAATGGGTCAGTTGGGGAAGAAAGGAGGAGGGAACACGATGCCATTAATTGTACCCCTTATCTCCTGTTTCTATGCCAACCAGACGTTCCTGGGGCTTGACGGGCTCGTGAATAATACTCCCGGCAGCCTATCTGCCATCGACAGGCCTCCTCCTGGAGGCAGTTGTTGCCTTGCTGATGGGTATCGCCCCCCCACCCCCAAATAGACCCAGGCCTGGCCCCGCATGAAGGCCGGCCGGGCAGCGCTTGGGCGCCTGGCTGGGTCCTGCCCACCAGCCACCATCCTATTGGTTGTCCTGGCCCTGCTCCCTGTTCCTGCAACAGCCCTGTCCCCATTTCACAGAGGGGGAGACTGAGGCCACCATCGCATATTCGCTCTCTGGACCTTGCCCGTTGTTCCCTACTCTGGCAGGAGTGGCCTGGCCCCAGGAGGGTTGTAGAAGTGAGGGCCAACACCTGCCAAGTGGGCCTCCATCTCCTCGACTGTGGCAACAGGAGGCAGGTGGCCCCACGTGTAAGGACTCAGCTGCCCTCAAGCTGCAGTGTGTACGGTCCTGTGAGGAGAGGAGGGCCAGCCCCCATCAGGGCTGACCCCTCACTGGGGCCTGGGCTCAAGCCGAGATCTGGAGGGTTTCTCTCTGGCTTCTCTTTTTACCCCCTTTTGGCCTCAGTTTCCCCATCTACGCAATACGGATGATGACACTGGTGGTCCCTGGGCATCAATGTGAAATACACATCACCTCAGACAGCTGCCAGCATCCCCATCCCCCTTCTCCGAGATATCTTTGTGGTCCATTGGTCAAGTCAGATCTGTGGTTTCCAGTTTATCTGTGAGGGACAAATCTCTT